GTTGAGTTTGTAGGTGTTCAGAATGGTTTGATCCCTATCCAGCTGAATTCCTGAGAGGAGACGAAATCCAGGTCTCCTACTCCTCCGCCATCTTGCTCCACCCCCCTGGTAAAGCTTTTTAAACAGCTTTATTGAGGTTAATTTTTCATGCCATAAAATTCACTCATTTTAAGCATACAATTCAAAGATTTTTAGTAAATTTACAGAGTTGGGAGAGCATCACCATAATTCAACTTAATAACATCTCCATCACCCCAAAGAGATACCTCATATGCATTTGTGGTCAATCCCCATTCCCACTCCAACCCCAGGAAACCCTAGCCTGCATTCTATCTTTATAGATTTGGGGCAAAACACTTTAATAGGCTACGTATTCAAAATTAATGACACCGTCGGTAATATTTCTTACCTGTGCCAAAAAAGCTAGAAATCCACCCATGGTGGTTGAGGGAACTAAAACCATGGTAGAAATCAAGGTAGGCAAGTTGAAGTGGATCAGCATAATGTCAAACATGATGATTGAGGCCTACAAGGCAAGTTAAAATATATTGCATGTCAGACATATGCAGTTGACTGATATTAGGGAAAATATTTAAAATGTAGGTGTTCTCATCATGTACATCAGAATTTTCCCACATACAGATTCACCACTTTCAGAGGAATAAGGGAAGTGAGGGGTTTTTGTTAATGAGAATAAATGTGACCTTTAGCTACCCAACAGAAAAATTTTAGATAAAAATCTGGAGATTAAGGTGAATGTTAAAGTGACCAGGTAGACTTTCTGACAGTGCATTAAGTGTAATCTAAGACAATAAGATAAAGAGAGAAATTTACCTTTTTATTACTAAGGTAACAATATTGTGAATGTATAAAAACCTGTATAGGATGGAAAGCTAGACAGGTGGTTATTTTAAAAAGTCCATACTGCCTCCCACTTAGACTAAAACTTTCTAAATGTCATCCCTGCTCCATTTCTTCCCCATTCCAAACAAATAATTTTATTGAGACTGTGCATTTTGATTGCAATGGACTTAATTTCTTTTAATAATTTTTTTTAAGATTTTATTTATTTATTTGAGAGAGAGAGAATGAGAGACAGATAGCAAGAGAGGGAAGAGGGTCAGAGGGAGAAGCAGACCC